TCCTCCACGTAAGAGAAACATGATAAATGATTTGAGGGTGATGGATACTACTGTACCTTGATTATAATCACTTCCAAGTTATACATGTATTGAAACATCACATTATTCCCATTACATCATTCACAAGGTATTTGTTATTAAAAAGTAAAATTTAAACACTAAGTAAAGGAGTGATAGGACCCTTGCAGGAGGCTTGGATGTTGCCTTGTTAGACAGTACAATCTACAATGATATTAGTTTTATCTTTAGCATTTAAAATCCATGGCCACATCCATTTTAAGAACCCAATGACTGCTGTTTCAGGTGAGTTAGTGTATGAAAAGACATGACTTTTAGCGTTGCATTCAAGAGATGTGATGGCACTTGCAGACTTGCTTCAAAGGTAAAAGATACAATGTTATGGTAACTGAGTCAGTGTAAGAGTTGTATGAAAGATTGGTTTTTGTTTTGCTTGAGCACTTCCAAACCCAGTATGTCTGATTACACTGTCACCTTTACATCAATATATAAATAAATAGGGAGGAAAATAATCACTGGAAGGAAAATTAAGGTTCGGGTCATACATCAGCTCTGCTTAGTTAGCATCCAAACCTATAATTCACATTGCTGCTGAAAAGCCTCCAGTGATTGCTTATCCATTACAGATCAATTGCAGAAAAAGACTGTAACTTTATTAGAAGCATAATTTAGGAACCCTATAAACATTTAGAATTTAAGCCCCACTAACTGAATTAAGTCCAACCATATGGAATATTTATATACACGTTGATTTAAATCCTTTCTGAAGCCTTTCCAAGAAAACTGTATGCTGAAGGATCAAAAGGCAATTTAACCAACCCGACTCCAGACTACCACCATCCAATCCTAAGGAATATCACCTTAGCCTTTGTCACTTGCTTAATATAAAACATCCAGATGAAATTACCCACAGCTCATTAAAAAAAGAAACTCATTTGTCCAATATTAGGTTGTTTAAACTTTAAGATTTACTATTCCTCGAGCGTTTGCATGGTTTTCTCTAGGTAGCTGCTCAGAACATAGTGCTACTGCAGTCACGAATTCCTGTTAGCTGGTAAGCTACCTGCAGAAAATAGATAAATTTATTCATCCCAGGCATTTTCCTTATCTCCACGTAGTCAACTTACCAAGGTATGGGGAAGGAGATTGTAGATGACTCTGAGAAATCCGTCAAAACTAAGGCAAGAGCTATCACATCACAATCTGATGGAAAAAGATAGGTAATGTTTCCACACAGGAAGAAAAGCTCCTCTCCTTGTGCTGGCTCTGAGTAGATATTACAGTGTAAATCAAGCTGTAGGAGGTTGTAAGGAAACTTAGAGAACACCTGCTCTCTTAAGTATGATACTAAATTCACATTTAAAGACCTGGATCTTGCCTCCCATCATTCAAGTGTAAAACTTTCTGTTATTAGCAGAAAAATCCACATATCTCATAATGAATTTGTATTGAGTTTCTATAGAACTTATATTCACTAAACAAGATTGCTTGATAGTTTTGCCCCCAAGGCTAGTTAGGAGTGAACCCAGAACAAAAGCTAAGATTTTTAACTTCAAAATGAATGTATATTTTGAAATAGACATTATATTTTGCCTTCTTCCTGCTTGGTTCATTCCATGTCTTGAAGGAAGGCATTTTCTACAGAAGGCAAGAAAGGTCCAAGCACTTGGAGCTTGTACACGGCTATTTCTCGGGAACTTCAAGGTCACATTGCCTGTGGAGCTGCTCCAGGCTGAGGGCTTTCATTCTCCCTGGCAGAAATAGCACACTTGGCTATGAGTTCCTGCTCCTCCCCATCTCCTCTGGGGCCTCACCACTTTCTCTTAATACATTTTTCTCTGGACACTATCTTCAGCTTTAGAAAACTTTAGCTAATCCCTTCTGAGCTTCATCTTAAGAGTTTTATAAATTAATATTCTCATTCCATGTTCATGAATTCTGACTGTTACAAATAACAGCATATTTTATCATTTTTAAACACAATAATGTATAGTCACAGTCATTCTTGAACTAGGGAGTGGTCATTATAAAGTATCATAAAGTGTTTGGGAAGTAGTCAAGGTTTTAGTTGGGTGAGAGCTTTTTAATGTTTTACAACTCTAGCAATAAGAAATTACATCTTATATCTAACTCTATAAGTGAAATTAAACTCTCCTTTTTCTCTTTTCATAAAATTTAAATGTTTCACTATCATTTTAACAAAATCCTTTCAGTGTATGAATATTTTCTCATGATAATCCTTAGACATGGTGGTTTTCCCAGTAACATTGGCCAGATTAATTTACCCTTCCCTCATTGGTCTTTTCTATACCTAGGGGCAAACTCCTTTAGACAGGAATATGTCTGTTTTAATTTCTGACCAGTTGGCAACAAGGACTATCCTATGCACATGTAGATATGTAGCAATACTTCCTCAGAGGAGGAGGATACTGGCTAATGATTACGGTGAGCTTACTACATGTCAGGTATTATTCTAAGTGCTATAAATGGAATCAGGTTCATTTCCCACAAAGTATTATTATTAACCCCATTTCACAGATCAGGAAAGTCACAAAGCTTGATAGTCATTAGTAATGAAAAGAGAAAGAAACACAGAAATGCATCTTTATTTCTTTAATCATTCCTTCAATGACTAACCAATTTCCTCAACAAAGGCTCATGTTCTCCACAAATATTGTCTGAAAATTAAATAATAATAAAACAAAACATAAGAGCTGAATCCCTCTTACTGGTCCAGATCCATGAAGTCCACAGTTTTCAGCACAATGTCTAGTTCATTTGTTAGTTTGTAATACATTCCTCTGCCCTTAGAAATAATTAAACTGATTGTACCCAAAAATAAATCTTACTAGACCTTGTTCAAGTATTTTTATCCTTGTAATTATTAAACTAGTCTGTTTACCAAAAGTTGTTTTGTTTGCAGATACTGTTAATATATTAGTCTTTACTTATAAATCTCTCTGCTGCAGAGAAAATGATGTCGAAAATGCAAAGAGAATAAGGAAAAAACTAAATTCAGGCATCTTTTTAGATAAATGTGATTGTCTACCAAGACTTTTCAAACACCACCTTAGTCCCTTAGGAAATGGATTCTGCAAAGATGAAAAATACATTTTCTTTTAATTTCTCTATGGAGATGTGATGAACACACAAGTAATCTGTGGTCATGAACAATTAGAGCTTGAAAGTTAGTCCCACTTCTAAGTATAAAAAATAAAATAAAAATCACCCATAATCCCACCATTCAAAAATCACTACTCAATATTTCAGCATATTTCCTTCTAGTCTTTTTTCTACTTTAAAAATCATAATAGGCCGGGCACTGTGGCTCATGCATGTAATCCCAACACTTTGGGAGGCCAACACAGGTGGATCACTTGAGATCAGGAGTTTGAGACCAACTTGGCCAACATGGTGAAACCCCTTCTCTATTAAAAATACAAAAATTAGATGGGTGTGGTGGTAGTAGGTGCCCGTAATCCCAGCTACTTGGGTGGCTGACTCAGGAGAATCACTTGAACTGGAGAGGCAGAAGTTGTGGTGAGCCAAGATCATACCACTGCACTCCAGCTTGGGTGACAGAGTGAGACTCTGTCTCAAAAATAAATAAACGAATTTAATTTAATTTAAAAACATAGTAAATAGGCTATCTTTTTATGTTTAAGAAGTTTTTCCCCTCATCCCCAGGAAAAAAGTTTCTATTATCCTCCTGTCCTGCAATGTATTCATCCCCTTCAAAGGCAACTCAAGTCATCAACAGAAAAATCAAATGACGCTTTAGCCACTCCGCTGCTTTCTTTCCTAATTGGAGGATAAATTCTTAAATTAAATTAAAGATTAACAAAGCCTTGGTAATTAGCATGCATCCTCTTAGTTGCAAAGATGGCTTAGCTATTCTCAGCTGTTAGTTTTATTACAAAGGTGCTTGCAATGAAAGCGTCAAGTTTAAGACTTCTCTAAACCTCTGCTCTACATCTCTCTCTGTGTTAATAACCTTCCTGGTGTTAGATATTTGTTTAATGATCAATAGTGGCTTCTATTCCTATCACTGAGTATTTCAGAAAGCAGCATAACCAAGTCAATGTTTAACTGGATTCTTTGGGTCTGAAATGGCAAAGTTGAAGGGAAGTCTCCATGGAAACCAGCCTCCCAGGAAGTGGCCAAAAGGGTTAGTGTGCAGTGAAACAGAGCTAGAAGGATGCCAGGAAGGAAATGACTGCTTTGTAAAGCCAGGGTAAACTTCTGAAATGCCTTGATTAAAACAAGCTATATTAAAGACCCCAAAACCACTTTCCTCTGAATGTCTTTCACATGAAATGGGCCTGAGTCACTCTAAGACTCACCCGAGGGTGATCAAAGTAGCACCGTTGCAAAACAAAGAGGTAGAGACTCCCTCAGCTGGCCCTGTGGACTTTGCATTCAATCAGAATTTGGAAGAAAAGACTTCACATTCACTGGCAAGACTGCAGGACCAGAATAAAGCCTTGGAAGGGCAGCTGCCACCTTTACAAGAAACCTGGTATGGAAGATACTCTGCAGGTAAACATAAAACCCAGCATGAGATGTGTGTATCTGGACCAAGGAGCATTATTAATAGATTTATCTGACTGTCTCCATGATCTCAGAAAGTTTCTAAATTACTGAAATGTAGAGGAATTTAGGCTATCTTTGAAAACTCAAACAAATCTTTCAATGAGGATTGAATGTCAATTGAAAGTATTCTGGGTGCATTAGAATGAGAGTATAAACTGTACAAAGGGCTTTTCACCATTCCATATGAGAAGGATAAATCATTTTGTTTCAGCTCAGTTTGTAATGCTTTCAATATTTATACCTAACTTTGCCAGACCATTAAAATTATATAGATACTAATGTGATAAATGATAGCAATCGCATTTCAGTTAAATTCTAAATTTAAATCATTCTCTCCAGTATAGTTTTATGCACCGGGCTTTGTGGTTTTGAAAGCAGCACTTTAAGAGTGAGTTAATTCTAACATGAATTTTGAAACCACCCTAAACAGAATTGATTTATTACAGTACATTGGAGTGGATGAGTCACCCTTTTCCCAACCCCACATTCTTCATGGTCATCTGCAGAACTAACAGAATTCTTTCCCATTATGATTGGAAGCTCTGAGCCTGAAGTGGCTATAAATTATCCTGGAATATTTTATAAGCCATGTAAAATGTTTTATCATGACCACAATGATAATTAAACAGACATCCTCACTTAGAAAAATATATGTTTATTTTATATATATATATATGCATATGTATATTGTTTTCCCTTTCCTTCACCTTCTGGATCAATAACACAAATAAGTTTCCCTTATTGGATGCCTCGTTCAGAAAGCCTCACATTCTCTTTTGGTACCTAGCAAATCTTGCCTGGAATGATTTTTCATGTCTACTCTCTGCAGAATTGATAACCTTTGGTTGTTTCTATATGGCCTATTTTTATGTTCTTTATGGTCTTCAAGTTCTTAAGCACATAGATGGGAATTTTCCCCTTAGGAATTTTTTTATGACAGACGAATAGGTGACAAGACACGATTTAAAAAATGGAGCATGAATGTGCACTAAGAGTATGCAATGCTCCTACTGAGGAATTCCCTTTTTATCCAAATCCCCATTGAGAGTTTTAAGATTTTGGTGATAGAGAGAGACTCTGTTTCAAAAAAAAAAGATTTAGGTAACTGAATAAATGGTGAAAGCTGATTCATGTGCTTTAGAGTCCCAACTGGAAAATATGCTTATATCTGAAGTGACAAAATCACATTGAAAATAAATAACAAGGAGATCATGAGGATTCTCATGATGATCTCCCATATTCTCACCGCAGCTCCATCAAATACCAAATCGAACGACCTTGGGCAAGTTACTTCATCAATTTTTTTCACTTGTAATCAGGGGTAAAAATAAATGACTGACACAGCCTATGACATTTGAGGAGAATCTAATTAAATAATGGACTAACATCACTAAAATAAAAAAATAAGGATTAGTAAGATTTCTGAAAAAGTAGCTGAAAATACTTACATTTTTAAATCCAATATGTTTGTTGTTTCCATCCTGCTCAATATGCTGGCATCTTTTCAAAAGAAAATAAGGACATAGTTTGCATACCACTAAAAGTCAGAGAGAACAAAGTCCTTAAAGCGGTCATTCACATGTCTTAAAGAGAAAGATGCATAATTATCCATGGATTTTTCCATTTAAAATGCAAAGTGGGACTGTAAAATACTCTATGAAACAATCTAGAAATCAGAATGTGTCCAGATTATTAAAAGGGAAGGACAAGAACTGCACTCATGCAGCGTTGGTTATGGTAGCACTCCCAAGAGCTCAGGATAATCAAGCTGGAAAATAAAATCCATAATGGATCTGTTGAGCCTCTCTGTTTCCTAATAGAGGCTTAACTCTGTATCCCTGGCTTGTTTCATCAGGAAAGAATATTGATATGCTGTATTATAGTGGCAACCTGTGGAAATTTTTTTCACTAAAGGGGCTATTGAATTGTGTTCACACATACTCCATTTCTGTCTCATCTCTGTATAATCACCTATCTATCTATCTATCATCTATTTCATCTAAGAAGATTATTTTCATTTTTTAAAGTTATATATTTTTCTGATGTCTTATATTTCGGTGAGGAGATTTTATGGAATTAAAACAAGTCAATAAATTTCTATTTTCCAGGCCAAATTCTGTTTGAAAAATATTTGCAGTCAACATATTGGTAATTTTGTAATTCTTCCCCTAAATATGAACCTGAGTAGGAAGTTAGGAGAGCAGATATTAAATCCCAAGTCTAGACTAAAACAGTATCATTTGCACTAATGTAGGTTCCCTGCTTTCTGTGTTTCATCTCCACATTCAACCTACAGGTTAGACATATATAACTGGAAAGGTACAAAATTGCGTTGATAAAGTCTAGTAACTAATGATTACCTGATCTAATAGTAAATTATATTTAATGTTTTATTCTTGTTTCTTCTCCAATCCTTCAAGCATCCAGAGACGTGGATTTTGACATCCCACTGGAACACAGACAAACAAGTATTATTAAAAGGCATCCACCCCAAAGACTTCAAGTAAGATGAATTTAAAAGGCTTCATAAGGAATTTCTTGGATATAATGGTAACATCCCTTTTTAAGCTATAATCATCAAAGAGGGACATTGATAATGACCAAGCTATTAATGAGAATGTTCTTAAAGAAAAATGTAATCAGTCACAAATACTCTATTACTTTAAGATTTTCCTTTAGCAATGATTTTGCTTTTAAGACCGGCCACCGAAAGAAGCAAGTTTAGTAGCAAGGACATAGGTATGATGCAACTCAAGAGGCTTGAATCTAGCACTAATTAGTTGGGTGACTATGGGAAAACAACTTGTAATAAATAATAACAGCTACTACTATTTAATTATACCTACTATACCTACTACAAGTCAGATACTATAACAGGCAATTCAATCTGTCATTTATTTAATCTTCTTAGCCATCTATGAAAAGGAAGAATTATCTTTGTTTTATACATGCTAGTCAGAGAGTTCAGTAACTACCCCCAAAGACTCACAGAGGTCAGATAGCAACCAGGTCTCCAAAATCTGTACTCCTAACTATCAGCGTAAGTAATTTCTATAGTCCTTCTATCTTTAACCTTTTATTGTTCTAGATGTTAACTGGTTGTTTAAATTCAGGACATTGGATTCCAAGGAAGCAAAGCAAGAGCTTTAAACACATTCACCTTAACAAATATTTAATGGGTTCTCTGTAGATAGCTATACATTTTAAGAACTCTCAACCTAGAAAGGAAATGGGTAGTTTGGAGTGGTCCTTGAAAATGAGCATCATTGGAAGGAGGGTTTAGGGCTCTCTTGTGAGCAGGATCTATCACTGACATTTGAAGCCAAATCCCACCTGCTGCACAATTCACCCAGATGCCTGGACCAATCCCAGAGGTACTGGAGCTCATTTGTTGGGGATTATTTCTGTTTCAGTTGGTTTTTCTTTACCTGTCTTCTGCAGAAGCTCACAGCCATTATTTGAAGTGATTATATCATTTTGTCTCAAAAGAGTATTTTTTCCCAAAATATTAGAAACTACAAAATTATTCTTTAGATAAAGAAAAATAAAATGAAATATAACAAATTAATATCTAATTTACAAGTTTTTACAAATCCTCTAAGTAAACAGGACAGTTTTTAAAGATATTTTATTCCTAAATCAAATACTTCCTTTCAAAGGAGTGTGTTTAATACATGTTTCCGTGAAGCCTCTAAGCTGATTAGTTCAAATAGAAGATATTACTCTAACTAGTGAAAAATATTTGTCTAGTACTTTATAGCTCACAAGTACTTTTTATATCTATCAATCCTAAACAAAGGAGGTTAAGTTTTGATTTTCTCAATAGTCAAACAAGGTCAAAGAGAGAACATTGGTATTTCAGAATCAAACACTGCACCACCACCTCCATACACATACACCCTAACCAACCATCTTAAAAACAAAAAATCAAGACAAATGAATTATTTCAGTGCAAAGACTATGCCTTTTTTATTCTTCAACTTTTAAATTCAGGGATACAGGTGCAGGATGTATAGGTTTGTTACATAAATAAATATGTGCCATGGTGGTTTGCTGCACAGATCATCCTATCACCTAGGTCTTAAGCTCAGTATCCATTAGCTGTTCTTCCTGATTCTCTCCCTCTCCACCAACCCTGACAGGCCCCAGTGTGTGTTGTTCCCCTTCCTGTGTCCATGTGTTCTTATTGTTCAGCTCCCACTTATAAGTGAGAACATGTAGTGTTTGGTTTTCTGTTCCTGAGTTAGTTTTGCTGAGGATAATGGCTTCTGACTCCATCCATGTCCCTGCAAAGAACATGATCTCATTCCTTTTCATGGCTGCATAGAATTCCATGGTGTATATATACTACATTTTCTTTATCCAGTTTATCATTGATGGGCATTTAGGTTAATTCCATGTCTTTGCTATTGTGAATAGTGCTGCAATTAACATATGCATCCATGTATCTTTATAATAGAATGATTTATATTCCCTTGGGTATATACCCTGTAATGGAATTGCTGGGTCAAATGGTATTTCTGCCTCTAGGTCTTTGAGCAATCACCAAATTGTCTTCCACAATGGTTGAACTAATTTACACTCCCACCAATGGTGTAAAAGCGTTCCTTTTTCTCCACAACCTCTCCAGCATCTGTTGTTTTTCGGCTTTTTAATATGGCCATTCTGATTGGTGTGAGGCAGTATCTCATTGTGGCTTCAATTTGCATTTCTCTAATGATCGGTCATGTTGAGCTTTTTTTCATATGTTTGTTGACTGCGTGTATGTCTTCTTTTGAGAAGTGTCTGTTCATGTCCTTTGCCCACTTTTTAACGGGGTTGTTTTTTTCTTGTAAATGTGTTTAAGTTCCTTGCAGACTCTGAATATTAGACCTTTGTCAGATGGATAGATTGCAAAAATGTTCTCCCATTCTGTAGGTTGCAAATACTATGTCTTATTCAATCTTATGTCTTCAGCCATTAATACTTAATATGAGATCCACAAAAGTTTGTGAGTAAAATGAATGAGTGAATGAATGACAATGAGACCCATCATCCCTGCTGGAGGAAGGATAAAGCACTCAAAGTGCACTCCCTGCTATTGCAGATCTGTAATCACTGTATTAGAAGTCTGTACCATCACTGTAACATGACTGTATTAGAAGTCTCATTGACTAGCAAAAATAACTAACACGATTAATTAGAAGGACATAGGAATGCTTTATTGAACCAAAGATCTGGGAGACACCTAAGCTTCAGGGAAGAATTATACCTTGGAACTTGAAATGCAGAGCTCTCTCAATTCCTAAGCTCTTCTCTGTGCATTTGCTATACTCTTTCTCACCAAAGATGAGTTTTCTCTGTTCTTCAGGAATGAAATATGGCCACACATGAAATATGGCCACCCTGAGCTTGTATCTTACAGTTCCAGTCAAATGGACAGATGGGCCTTCTTGACTCCAATTCCAGATTCCTAGGAGAAAGGATATTGGCTCATCTTTGCTCATGATTTTGCTCTGGTCCAATGAGCTATGGCCAGAGGATATACTCATACAGTAGATATGTGGGCAGAGGAGTCTCCCCTATAGACTCTGGAGTCAGCTCCCAGAGAGGAGGGAAATCACTAGAAACTTGGCAGACACTCCCAAAGAGATCAGCTATAATTATCTTCACAAATGAAGCTCAGCACATTTTCAAGCACAAATGAGTTTTTGAGAGAATAATACATACTGGGTCCCCATGACATGCTAATTAATAGCCTAATTTCTGCCAAAGAAAATTCTAAAAGTATTTTTAATTATTAAACCAAATCTAATTGTATGCTAAATTATTTGAGTTATATTTTTGGCACCTTCTACTTCCTAAACATCTACTCCTCAAATAAAGAGCAAGTCATGAACTAGCATTATCCAACCTAGAGCTGAGAGGCTCTGAGAGCCTCTGCCAGGGAACTCTGCATCAAATGGGCCGTTTTATTAAAGAGTTGATTAGCACTGTCCCCTCTGGCCTGATCACCTTCTTATGCATCCATTTCTAGCTTATATTGGAGGTGTTTCCCCCCCAACATATAGTGTGTCCTCAGATGATCTCCTTGGATAACTCCCTGATCTTCAAATATTTCTTCAAATCTCACTGTCCCTATAAGACTCACCCCGACCAATCAATTGACATTGCAATCCCCATGTCAGCACTCTTGAGTCCGCTGGCCCTTCACTAGATTCCCAAATCTCCTAGCAGACACTTCAACTGATTATGCTGACCATTTGTTTTGTTTGAGAAGTCAAATAATCCAGAAGTCTTTAAACAAATGATACTTATATTATAAAATGAAAATAAGGTGTCATTCTAACCGATTCTCTAGTAGTTCCTTCCATTGTGTTCTCTTTGAAGATGATGAAGTGAGGCATCTCACTTCCTGGGCAGGGAAAAGGAACATGCATATAAACCCAGAATTCTGAGGCAATTTCATCTGACTGGTTTATTTAGCTGAAGCCAATTTCGCCAACAATTTTTTCTGCAGTGCTTCTCAAATCAAGTGATAAATGATTTAACGAAGAGATCCCAGTTGCAATGTTAGTTGCTGCCATCTAGTGGCTTTTGTGAAGGAATAGTGTGATTCCTTAGGCTCTTCTCAACAGCCAGGGAGAAACTCAACCTGGAGAGAGTTCTTGCAGATATCTACCACTGAACCCTTATTAGAATTGTGTGTTTAAATAGAAACACTGAAAATAGAAGAAAGAGATCTGTGATAACTACATATTTATACTAGCAAAGCAAAAACTTGGTCTATGAATTTATGGATAGATGAGTTTAATAAAACTAAAAATTCATGGCTTTTTCAGACTCAATTTTTCAAAAATATTCCACAAAAAAAGATCCTCCGTAGTCTATTTTGATGTCATTCCTTTGTTCACTTAAGGCAATGTGGAAGTCAGTGGCCCCCAACCTAGGAAGAAATCATCAGAATCCCTGGGAGAGTTGTGAAAATATTTATTTCCAGGATATACCCCAGACCTGTTGAATCTCAATCTCTAGTGAATGGGCCAAGAATTTCTTCTTTTTTAATGCCAGAAAAGTCTGAGATAAGCCATTCTGGAGAACATATAGTGCAGAAAAGAGGTTTAGATTTGGAGCTGGACACACTTGTGCTTGAATCATGGAGATGCCACTTTCTAACTGTTCAACCTTAGACAAGTCAGCAACCTCTCTGAAATGGGGAATCATCATAATTATCCAAGGAGTTCACATGAGAATTGAATGAGATTACATATTTATAACCCTGGGTATGGCATGCAGTAATAGCTGCAAAGGCATATAGACCTAATAAGAAAGAACCAAATCCTGAACACTCTCCACGTCCAGAGGATGGCACAAACACTTGTTCTCCCCAGCTTCCAGAAATCCCCCTTGAGTCATTCCTGATTCTTCCTCCCATAGGTGCCTTGAGGGGCTCCTCTCCCTTGGCCTCCCCTCCCCTTCCTCTCCTTCCACTTTTCTTGCAGTGTTCTGACTTGATCAGCAGCTGCCTCTCGTACCAGCAGGTCCCATTTGCTTTGCATCTTTATGTCCTGCAGGGTTAAGAGCCAGGGGAACAAACTCCTCTTACTAGGATTGATCTCCTCTCATTACATCTTTGCTAAGTTATGTTAAAAAGACCCACTTCCTCCTCTGAGGTGAGAATGGAACAGAGAACCACTTCCCACCACAAATGCAAATTATTACCTGGCACATATCTAACATAAAGATGAGCTCTTTCCCCTTGTTGTCTCTTCTTTGTCTCCACATTCTTTGCCCTTCTTCTCTTCCTTACCAGGTCTACTTTGGGGTGCTCCAGCAGAAAGGACTGCTGGGTGCTCTCCAGTCCAGGACCAGGGACCTAGAAGTGGTTGTACAGGGAAGTAGTGGTGGACACAGGTCATGCTCCCCATTACAAGTACTGAATATCCAGTATTTATCTTCCTTGGTCCACTCGCTCCTTTTTACCTGGTCACCTTGAAAGCCAAATTGACTTCCAAATGTACCTCTTAATAATGCAACAAATCACACCAAAACTAAACCATTTTAAAGTAAATTAGCATGTGCCTTCAGCAGTGAACTAAGGTGGGAATAGGGCTCACACTCTTTGCTGCAGCATGATGTCCTCATGGTTTTCCTCCTACTTCTTGAGCCATCATTTCCCAGTCTCCTTGGCCAGCTTATTCCTGGCCACCAGCCTCACCACTGGAACTCCTGGAGTCTGCAGTCTTTAGCTCTCCTCTTCTCACTCCTGACCTTTACCATGACCTCGGCTTCACTCATGCTCTATTCTGGGATTATTCCCCAAAGTCTCCAGCACAGACCTCTCCTCCCAAGCTCCCTGTATAACTCAACAGCTACACTGGCCTGTCTCAAAGGTGTCTCAAACTCAATCTACTGCACACCAAATTTGTATTTTCCTTCTACATCCCAGCCAAACTAGGTCTTCCTCTGGATTGCCCATCACAGGGTATAACACCCTCCATTCCTTGTTCTGTGGACTCTATTCCCATTTACTAACCATAATGAATCTCATTTGGTCAGCTTTAAACATTTGTAGAGATCATCAATTTCCCTCTCTCAACCCCAGCCCATCATCTTTGTCCTCCTAGCTGATCTCTCCACATCCATAATTATTCCTTTCTAGTTTCCACACTGCAGCCAGAGTGACCTTTTTTTAAAAAGCAAAGGTAATCACGTCACTCCTTTGCTTAACACATGTCAGTGGCTTCTCATTGCTCTTAAGGGACCACTATCTTGATGGCCTGTCAGGTCTTACATGACCTGGCCCCTGCCTCACCTCCCCAGCTCATTCCAAGCTGCTGTTTCACTTACTCTAAACTGCAGCCAACCGACTTCGTTCCATTCCTTCAACAGATCATGATCACTCCCCACCTCAGGGCTATGGCACACCTTAGTCCCCTAAAAACTCCCAATCTGTCCATTTCTACTGAAAAGGTACTACCTTAAAGCACTTTCTTGAACTGCCTCCCTAGCCCTTTCCCTCCTGCCTTAGATTGCTAAGGCTGTAACACAGTACCACAAATTGGGTGGCTTAAATGATCCAAACGTATTGTCTCCCAGTTCTGGAAGCTAGAAGACTGAGGTCAAGGTGTCCATAGGGTTGGTTCCCTCTGAAGCCTGTGAGGAAGGTCTGCTCCATGACTCCCTTCTAGCTTTAGGTAATTTTCTGGCACTCTTCAGTGCTGTTCATTGGCTTGAAGAACCATCACCCCAACCTCTCCCTTCATCTTCACATCGTGTCCTGCCTGTGTGTGTGTCTGCGTCCAGATTTCCCCTTTTTTATGAGGACATTATCATATTGAATTAGGGGCTTGCCCTACTCCAGTATGACTTCATCTTAACTAATTATATCTGCAATGACCCTATTTCCAAATAAATTCACATTCTGAGGTATGGAGGGGCTAGGCTTCAACATATGAATTTTGTGGGGTAGCACAGTTCAACCCCTAACACACCCTATTTTTCAGGTGGAGTCCTTCAGTTATGTAGCATCATAGTTCTGCCCTGCAGATTTTTTCTTCAAAGCACTGACCACAGTTTGTAATTATCACTTGAATAATCACACAAGCAAAAGCACATCTATTACACATAGATTGTAAGCTCCATGAGGGGCCATGTCCATTTTTGCTGACCGTTGCCTCCCCATGTCTGGCTTGTAGCAATCATTAAGTACTCACTGAAGGAACAGATAAACTCTGTGGTCCTCCACGTTCCCCATTGCATGTCAATGTGAAGAGACCACCCTTCGTCTCCCAGACCTGCTTGATCACTTCTCAGTGCTCAGCTTCTAAGGCAAGAAGGGCTGGAGGCAGACCGGCTGACATGAATTGCTGCCCAGTCTTAGCGACCCCCTGAAACTCCAACATATCTCCCCTATCAAGCCAAGCCCCTTCTAGAAAAAGACATCTCTAAAATGTGTTAGCACACTGCAGTTTCATTTTAAATGTGTCTCATAGTCACCAGTGATTACTACTAAGGAGCTTCTCTAGAGATCTTAAAAACAGATTGCTTCCCTAAGGGCTGGAATAGTTCAGCTGGGTACCTAAGGAATGTGTGAAATAAAATAAATTCCTAGTGCCTCTTTTATCTCTAATATTCTAAGATCCTGGTGGTTTGATAACTTTGGACATGGTCCCTCAATGCAGACAGAAGAGGATTCTTAGTCTCCTAACTCTCTGACCAGTACTTAGATCAATAAGGCACTGTCTACAGTGCACTAGAATAATAAAGAACCCAGATAGGTTGAAAAGCCTTTTGCACCAATATAACTGTAATGCTGTTGGAACCACCTTTCCTGTATGCTCTCAGAAATAAGTGCCGCTTTTGCAAAGTGTTAAGATAGTTTAATGTCTGGCTTTTGTGTTTCATCATCTCATGGCATGAGGAATGCTGACTGCTCTAAACGTTGAACTTCTAGAAGCTCGAACCCGTCGACTTGCCACGAGTAATTACTTCAGGAAGACTCCTGAGCCAGCGAGAAGCCAGGGCAATGCACAAAGCAAAGGTGAGCTGCAGCAGTAACCTGACAGGGAGGTGAACTAGGGGTGGGCGACACAGGATTGGGGCACTGGAGCACACTGGTCCTTTCATGCACTCTCTGCATGGAGGAGTTCAAAGACAAATCAAACTGTTAAGTCATTCAGAGTGAGAACTTTTCAAAGCTATTTATTCTCTTCTGTGCATGCCTCCAACTGGCAGTGGCTCTTACCTCTTGCATGAGCTCTGTGCCCTTTTCTGTTTTGTGTTGAAAACAGGGCAATGTAGATGAGAAAAGACTTTTACTCAGAAATTGGTGATTCTGAAGTTTTCAAATCTCTGAAAAATTCAGCATAAGTCCTTCCTTTCATTCCTCCCCTCAGTTTAAAACATCCTCTTTGTTCTGTTTGCAGGAGAAATCTTATCTACAAGTTATTCCTGACTTATTTGCCACAATCTCACCAAAAATTAATCCTGAGAAATGTCTTCTGTGTATCTTTTCCCTGCTTTGCACTTGTAATGTTCTGTTGACTAGAATTCCCCTCACATAGAAATGAAAGCTGGGAGGCAGAAGTAGATTTTCAACACTTTCCACTCCTAATTTGTTTTGGAGCTAGCTAGGTGCTGCTGTGTGGCTGGCTGACTTGGTAAAGATGTCCAGGTGCTGTCAGAATCAAGCCCACATTTGTGGTGCTGACAGCATCTGCGGAGATGGCCCCTCCCTGAGGTTCACATCAGCTGACAGTCACTATCCACACGGCAACACAAAAGGTATTGTCAAACACATCACCTTTCCTGGCAACAGCAAATGACAAATGAAGGTATATTCACCTCTGGCTGCCCTCAATAACTGTCTGCACTGTCCCACTGGAGTTTATGATGCACCAGCGGGGAGATGTTCAGAGTCACAAATAATCAACTTCAAATCCTCCCTAAACTGCAATATTCTCCAAGGCTTAGTCTGGCATATGGAAATGCACTCTATAGAAATAGGTTCCATTTCACCATTCAGCAGCTTCCCTCTCATTTCATAGCCAGTCAATTAGTGGTAGAAGAGGTAGGGAGAAAAAGGAAGGTTTCTTCAAACCGAACACATTTCTGGGGATAGTACTAGTAATAAGTAGTAATAAGCATCTGTTTACAAGGGAAGTGATATCTTGTCAAAAATGAGATGTGGAAAGATATTCCCATTTAAGGTTTACAAAACTCTATAGCAACCTAAAAATCTACAAATATACACATCAAAGAGCCACTTCATTCATTGACAGTGACACAAAGGACTTGTCAGGGACATACAATAGTCCACTTTTGTCATCACAAGATATCTCTACGGGTTATGACTGATTAAGATCTCACTCTGTTTCAAGAAGGATGTAAACTTGTGAATTGCAGAGTCAGTAACAAATTACCCCATACTAACAAGTGTGTCATCTTTCATAGCAGGTACTAGAAAAGAAAATGCAAACTCCAATGTATACTTCTGAGAACAGACAATATTTGCATAAGATGCAAATGCTGGAAATGATTCGTAAAAGACAAGAGGTAAATATGAGAAGAGAAGAGTGTCATATTTACCAAATTTTCATCACATAATCACTGCCCTGCCACGTGAATATATCAAGCATAGACACCCAGGCTTTACTTAGCATTTTAAATCTAGTCATTGAGGTTGAAAGTTCAACTACTAAAGCTGAGAAGAATCAGGAAGATTCGCTTCTGCTGATAACCTTGTTGAGCCTTTTCTAAGTTTTCAGTCCTATCAAGGACGTATCTGTGTCTCAAGTCTCCATTTTTAAAAATAGTTTGCTCCTATGACACTCTGGACATAGGAAAATGGGGCTAGATCATTTTTCTTGGTTTAGTGAAAGGAGGAGGGGGTGAGTTGTTCTTTATTCTGATACCTAGGCCTCTCTCTATAATTGTTGCCATAGAATTATCTAACAAGAAAGACTGCTTGTAAAAAAACAAATGAAAACCCTTTACCAGTAATGTCTGTAACTGTCATATTCCAAATTCCTCCCTCTAGGAAACAAGGCTTTAGTTACTGCTCTCTGCAACTCCAATTATATCAGCTAGCCTACAGAAACACACTTTTGTAAGGACCCTCATCCTAATTGAGCCATACCCTTTTGAGACTGGGCACACTCACCTTTCTCCTAACAAGCTTGTGAATAAAGAAAGTTCCCATACCTTCTAGTAGGAAAAAGAAAACCACGTTCTGCTTAGAGGACTGCAGATGTCTACAGATAAGCACACAACTTGCAAAGTGGCTGATCTGTTGCTCTCTTCTGGTGAAAGTAGCTTGGGAAGAACATTGATCATTTATGGCTGATGATTTTCAGGCCCAAATGGAGTTAAAGAAAAGTCTTCACGGAGAGGCAAGAATTAATAAGCAAAGTCCAAGGGACCATAAAGCCAAGAAAACCCTTCAAAGCACCCCAAAGAATGATGACCATGACCTTCTAACCATATTGCCTGATGAAATCTTGAACAGAGGTCCCGGTGAGTCATGTACAATGTTTTAGTAAAATATTTTTTAAAACTTCATCAAATAAACTACCAAGGAAGGGGCATGGTGAGAAGACAGCACACAGCTTTGAGTTCTTGCTGAGAGTTTTACTTCCCAGAATATAGTGGGCATGTTGTCATGTAATTTTGGATGGCTGGGAGGAAAAGACAGAAACTTCCGCTTGGTAATTAAATGTCTCTTTCTTTGTACGGGTTTAATATGCTTTGCATGCTTCATTGCAAGCCTTGCCTCATCCCTAGAAGGAGAAAAGGCAAAATAGCCTCATCTTGTGGTTAGAGAGAATGAAGCACATGAAGATATATTGCCTGCAGTCACATGGCAAATTTGCTTCAGCAGGGTTGGTACCATATGCAGACACTTATCTCCCCGACTGCACCCTTTTCCACGCAGGTCAACCCTCTTTGGCACATTCAGAATTTCTAGAATGAATCACTGCCCACCCTGAGCTTGCTGTTCCTGCTGATCTACCGGCTCAGTGGACAAGGTCTCCAATGTCACTCTTCCCTATCTCCCTACAGCTGGTCGGTCACCAAGCCCTGCTGATGTCACCTAGAAGTAAAATCTGCCCTTTCTCTTCCATTCCCGGTAGTATTGCCTTAGATATGACCCTGGTCCTGTTACACCAGGGTTCCAGCTACAGCTTCCTGACTGGGCCCCTCCCATTAGGTCTCACTCTCCATCCATCAACACTTCACTTCAGTGGTTCTCCATGTGGTCACCAGACCACCAGCATCAGCATCACCTGGGAACCTGTTAGGGCCCAGAGTGACTGAATCAAAAACTGCAGGGGTTACGCCCAGTACTCTGGGTTTAACCACCCCTCCAGGTGATTGTGATGCTCTTAAAGTTTAAGAAAAGCTTAACTTTAAGTGATTCCTAACTCTACTCAGTAATTGAAGTATTACCACAGACCAGCATCATCAGTATCACCTGGGAGTTTATTAAGACAGGCAAAATTGGAGGTCGTACCCCAGACCTACTGAATGAGAACCTGCATTTTATCAAGATTGCCAGATGATTCTCATGCACACTGAAGTTCTAGAAGCACTGCACTAACATCAGAGTAATCCTATAACATGCAAATCTGACCATGTCACTCTCCTGCTTAGAAAAACAAAAATCCTCCGTGATTCTCTGTCAGCCTGAAGACAACGTCGAAGCTCCTTAACATGGAGCTAAGTGTGGTGACTCATGCCTATAGTCCCAGCTACTCAAGAGGCTAAGGTGGGAGGTCCACCTGAGGCCAGGATTTCAAAACCTAGCCTAGGTAACATAGCAAGCCCCCTGTCTCAATAAAATAAACTCAACCTGGGACTCTCAGCCTTTCAGGATCCAGTCATTGCCTACCTAGCCTTTCTAGCTTCACCTTCTGCCACTCTTGCACCCAGCCCCCACATTTCAGCCGGGCCAAATTGTGTATGCTCTCAGATCGCTCTATGCTTTCTAATGGACAGGCTTGTCCACAACTTCTACGGTACATTGCCCCACCAATTAGAGCCCCATAAAGCTTTCCTTGTTTGTATTTCCCCAGGGCAAACCCACAGTTGAAATTTCCAATATTGTTCACACACACAGATTGCTGTGCTGTGAGCCAAATTCCCCACATCAGCAGGACTGACCCACCACGGAGAGAGCTGCAGAAAAGCTGGCTACGTCTCTAAAGGTCTTGAACTTCTAAGATGCAAAATCACCTGCTGAAAGAGACACTGCTCCTACTCAGAGAAACAAGATGCTTAATCAATAAGTTAATTAAATAAGAAAAGGCTGACTAATTGAAAATCTACTTGAGGCATCTATTTAATCTATACTCCCAAGTCTCAGAATGAAATATCCTTTGTAGTCACACAATTTTTACCATTTAAACAATATCTTTTTAAAAATATGCAAAACAACCAAGAAAAAAGCCTCAGCTAAAGTTAGACACTTAACAGTCATCACCTGAGAGCACGTCAAGAAAAACCAGCATCGGCGAAGTCCTTGGAAGATGTCTCAGAGCTGGAGGGGACTGAGGAGAAACTGGCACAGGAGAAAGGAGTTGTCCTCCGCTCTCCTGATGCTTTTTAAAGCTGCTTCATTTTATTCAAGCTAAGGTTTGTTGAGTGCTTACTATAAGCCAGGTACTGTGGTTTGCCTTAAATATGCATTATCTCTTTTAACTCTCACACAACCTAGAAGGTAGGAGCTACTATTCACCCCAGTGTGACAGAGCCAGGATTCAAGTTCAGGTCTTTTTGACCTGCACTCACACAGCTCCACCAGGAACACCAAGGACTTGGAACTCTGTCAAGGACAGCTTTGGAAAAGTTTGCAAATGTAGGGGTTGTGACTCCTTGACCTTATTTTTCAAAGAAGGCCGCACTCTGCAACTTCTGAAAGGAAAGTTAAAGCAGCTGGCAGACTTTGGAGCTCACGTGCTCCTGGAAGTGACCGAGTGTAGAGAAGAGAGAACAGAAGGAGTAACTCAGGCAGGAACCAATTCAAGTGCCAGTCAGGGAGGCGTAGCTGCATCAGTAGTGCACAAATGCTCAGTTAAGAGCAAAACCACCTGAGGAGCTTCTCAAGAACACTCAGCCCTAGGGCTGATCATGGTGGCTCACGTCTGTAATCCCAGCACTTTGGGAGGCCAAGGCGGGCAGATCACCTGAGGTCAGGGGTTCAAGACCAGCTTGCCAACATGGCGAAACCCCATCTCTACTAAAAATACAAAAATTAGTCGGTCACAGCGGCGGGCACCTGTAATACCAGCTACTTGGGAGGCTGAGGCAAGAGAATCGCTTGAACCTGGGAAGCAGAGGTTGCAGTGAGCCAGGATCATGCCACTGCACTCCAACCTGGGCGACAGAGCAAGACTCCATCTCAAAACAAACAAAAGAAACACCTAGTCCTGTCTCCCAGCTTCAGCCTACTGAATCTGAATCTCTAGGTTGAAGGTGAAAGAATTTTACGTTTTAAAAGGTCCTCAAGTGATTTTGAACATTAGCCAAACTTAGATGGACTAGATAACCCTTGAGAACTCTTTCAACACTTTAACCTTATGAGAATCTTTTTCTTTGTAACAACTCGTGTGTGTGTGAGATACACAGGACAAAATAAGCCTAGAAAATGTAGATTTTGCTAGCATGAAATAGACAGGGAATTCTAACTCTTCCTATTATAATGATATCATAATTAACTAGACTCTTAGAATGACATGTCTGCATCAACTCACCTGCCTATTGCTGAAGTTGTTGGAAAGAGAAGTAAGACAAATATCACCGGAAATGTGTTTGATGATGGAGAGACTACAATGCCTACAAAGGGTGTCATTCTGTTCTGTGCTTCAGTATTCACTGTGCAGCCCTGTACATGTAAAAGTGTAGGATACTGGGATAATTATGGATACAGCTAGTATTTATAAAGTGCTTCTAAGAATTTTAAATGCATCATTTAATCCTCATATTAACTCTACAAGGTGAAAATTATTACCACCTCTCTTCTACAGATGAAGAGACTGGGTCTGGAGAGGTCCAGTCACATGTGCAAGGTCACAGCCAGCCAGTGAGAGGTGAAGCTGCTCGGGGATGCACTTACAGGGCACCTGACTCCTGAGCCGACAGGCTTCACCTCTGTGCTCAGCATTTGTCCTAGTGATGATTCCTTTTCACTTATTCCCAGAGAGCGTCTTTGATTTCTTTCCGCGCCTTCTAAAAGTAGTTCACTTTCTCCTACAAATGGGGTGTAGCTAAGATCTTACACTTACATAAGCATTCTACTGTCAGGTCATTAAGGTTCCTCTGTAGCTCTCTCTTCTTACTTAACGGCATTCTCGACCTTTCTTGTTCCCCTATTGAAAGGTGAAATGAGGGTTGTGGCTCTCTTGTGAGATAAAAGTCAGTCACTGCTTTCTACTGCATCTTTAAAATGAAATCTCCCATGCTTTACATATATTTTACATACATTCATATAATAAATTACATATACAATCATATGACACAAATTATATATAGCATACACATAGTGAATGTCACTCTTTTTGGTGTACAAGTCTATGAGATTTAATGTGTTTCTGTGGCTCCTACCCTTTGCTGAAGCTGTGATATGAATGAACATAGAGGGTGGGAAGAGCACTGGAACTGACCTCAAAGCCCTTCACTGACTCCCAGTGGTGCATCTACTAAATGGAAGCTCCATGAAGGCAGGGACTTTTTCTTGTTCCTAGAATAGTACCTGACACACGATAGCCTCTCAATAAATATTAACTGTATATTTTTTATATAATTTCATTCTAGAGAGAAAGAATATAGCTAAATTCTAGTTATTTAACCTCCAGGAACCTCAGTTTCCACATCTGTAAAATGGGAATAAAGTATTGTATACCACGTAAAGTGTACGTAAAAAATAACGTGTATAAAAGCACACATAAAATGTAAAGTGTGGCCAGGCACTTTACAGGCCATAGCTCATGCCTGTAATCCCAGCATTTTGGGAGGCTGAGGAGGGTGGATCACTTGAGATCAGGAGTTTGAGACCAGCCTGGCCAACATGGCAAAACCCCGTCTCTACTAAAAATACAAAAAATTAGCCAGGAGTGGTGGCACATGCCTGTAATCCCAACTACAGGGGAGGCTGAGGCACGAGAATTACTTGAACCTGAGAGGCAGAGGTTGCAGTGAGCCGAGATCACACCACTGCACTCCAACCTGGTCAACAGAGAGAGACTCTTTCTCAAAAAAGAAAAAAAAAAATAGAAGAAGTACCATACAAATGTATGGGAATATAGACAAAACTGAAGAAGAATATAATCGATGTCTTTTTTTTTTTTTTTTTTTTTTTTAAGATGGAGTTTCTCTCTTGTTGCCCAGGCTGGAGTGTAATGGTGTGATCTTGACCCACCGCAACCCCTGCCTCCCAGGTTCAAATGATTCTCCTGCCTCAGCCTCCCAAGTAGCTGGGATTACAGGCGCCTGCCACCACGCCCAGCTAACTTTTGTATTTTTAGTAGAGACAGGGTTTCACCATGTTGGCCAAGCTGGTCTGGAAACCCTGACCTCGTGATCCGCCGGCCTCGGCCTCCCATAGTGCTGGGATTGGGATTACAGGCATGAGCAACCACACCCGGCCAGAATTGATGTCTTATGGTGAAAACAGTCATATGCTTCAGGGATGTGTCACTTTGAATCCGTTATTTGAATGTCAGCTTCAAAATTCTGGTCTTATCTGGCCACCTGCACTCTTTCTATAAAGAATCTTATTTTGTTTAATTTTTCAATATAGCTCTGTATGTGAAATTCTGGGTTTGACATAGCAGTGATACAGTTTTCTGAAACACATATTATAAAATACACAACCATCAAACAGGTTTCATGCTTTATGTGATTCTTCTACTACCTAAATCATTTCCTATTTTTCCCACTGACAACTGTTGCCTTCCTCTCTCCCTAAATTAATTTTGGAGTAGGATACACTTTCCTTTACTCTGCTCACCCGAAACCCATTTGGGTTTTTAAAGACTGTGTTTTTATTTTTTAAAGTCTATAAACCACAGAGAATCAAACAAGGATTTATAAAAATGTAACAAGTAATAAGAAATCTAGCTCAGAAGTGCTCAAATTTTAATGCTGTATGCACAAAACTATATATGTAATACTTTATGAGTGACAAAGGATTGATTTTCAAGGATGAAACTGAATATTTGAATTTTGTCGCATACACTAACATTAGACCTGAATTTTCATAACATCAAGGGTGTTGTGGGACTTAGGCTATCATTAATATTTCATTAGATCCCAACACAAACAAACATTCCCCTTCTGTTTCAGATCTCCTGCCGATAGCTGGATGTTCTAGAAAATTTCTGTTCCCAGTCTGAGTGGTGCCTCTGGTAGTTCTTGACTACTTTGCAGAACAGAGATGACTGACACTCCTGAGCCCCAATGAGTGGGGCCTTTTTTAGGTCCTAATTACCAATACTTCCCATCTCCCAAAATTCTCTGATTGCTCATTTGTTTATTCATTTATTCATCTATTTGTTCACCAAATATTTATTTAGCACATACCAAGTGCCAGGCATTGTGTGGTTGTTTCATTGTATGGTGATGAGCCAGGCAGATATGGTTCCTGGTTTGTGGATCTTGCATAGACATGTTTAACAAAGAGTTGTTTAACGAGAGTATACCGGGTAGACCTGGTATCTGTGGAGTCAGGGAAAGTTTCCATGAGGAAGGGACATTTAAACCGAGATAAGAAGTAGCTGGATGAAGCGGGGAGGAGGGCATGCGAGTGTGAGGACCATGGGTACTGGAATGTTCAAAATGGTAATCAACCCCAGCACGTGCAAAAGTCCTGCAGGGGGAAGGAACACGATGGACTCTAGGCGAATGAGAGATTCAGAGAGTAACTGGAGATGGCTCTGGAGATATGGGCAGGGCCAAATCACACGGGGTCTTGTAAGCCATGTTAGGTAAGAATTTTAAACTCTACCTTAAGGTCATTGGGAAGCCACTGATAGGGCAGGAGAGTGGCATAAGCAGGTTCATATTTTTAAATATCACTCTGTCTACACTGTAGAGAATGGGTGGGAGGGGAAAGTAAAAGGATGAAGGAAGACCAATTATAAGGACACAGCAAAAGCGCAAGTGAGAGATGATGTTGAGACCAGGAGAGTAGGGTCTCGATGAGGATGGAGAGAAGCAGCCAGATATGAGATCGTTAGGAGACAAAATAATCAGAATTATCAGGTGATAGGTTAGATGTGAGTGCATGGAGAGGGTAAGGAGACCAGGTGGATTCCCGGGTTTCTCTTGAAGAATTAGGCAGACAATGGGGTAAAGGTAGTACCGTTTGCTGAATTAGGGTAGCCAGGAGCAGAAGCAGGTTTGTGAGAGAAAGAGAAGGTAGGGCTGCATTATTGCCAAGTAGATATCAAAGTGGAAGTGTCCAGTTTTACAAAAACGTCCTTTGTAGCTTAGGAGAGAGACCAGGGCTGCAGACATTAGTTAACATGGTTATCTGCCAGTGCTATCTAAATAGGCAACAATAATCATTATAATAGTATTCAAGGGGAAAAACTGGTAACTTCTCACTGAGGCCCAACAAATCACAAGGCACGAATTCTCACATTAAAACGCTTGTTTCCAACTCACCACACTGTATACATTAAATATGTATAGCTTTTGTATGTCAATCATAGTTCAATAAAGTAGTTTTTAAAAATATGGTGCACAAGGTAAAAAGAAATATTTGATTTTCTTATATAATAGTACACAACTTCAGATATCAAGAGCTTACATAAACTGCCAAAAGATTTAATAAACAATTATCATTAAGATAACATTCAAAAGTTATGGTCGTTTCAACCAGTCTAGTGGGGAACTCTGGGCTTTGACCTAAGATTTTTGTTTTAGCTCCAAAGTGGTTGGGAAGATTTTGTTTGCTTAAAAGCCAGCTTCCCTTGAACAAAGCTCCTGTTGCTTTCTGGAGTGCATTATAAAGCATGCTGGGAACTGCTTAAATAAAAAGCTAAGGTAAATACATATGCACATAAATAAAATCCCAAACTAAAAATAAATTGTCTCTTTTAATAAAAAATATAAAATAAAATAGAATGCCAGATTCATTGAACTTCCCAGTACTATGGGTCTGGAGTACAGTTTAAACATCTGTTTCTAAAAGGCTGCAACAGGTGATTCTGCTATGTCAGAAGTATATATTATGTGTCTAGCACATAGTAGATGTTCAATATAAAGCACCTGTGCAATATTCTTGCCCAAAATGTTTAACCTCAATTTAATTGCAAGGAAATAATAAGGGAAGCTAAAATTTAGGATCTTTCTGTAAAATAATTGACCTGGATTCTTCAAAATGTCATCATTACATTAGGAAAAATGAAAAAGACAATGAAGATGGAAGAGGAGACAAAAGAGGAGAAAGAGGAGGAATGGTGATGGGGTGTAGAGACTGTGGGAGAGAGAAAGAGAAGGAAAGCATAGAAGAGTATTCTTGAATTAAAGGATACTGAGACGAGAAAATAAAATGCAACGTATGATCCTAGATTGGATCCTGGACCTAAAAATTAAAACTAAAACAGCAAATAAAAAGCAGCTATAATGGGCATTATTGTGACAACCATGAATATTTGAACATAGACCATATATTAGAAAATAGTATTATATCAATGTTAAATTTCTAAAGTGTAATAATTGTTTTGTTATGTAGAGACAATGCTCTTGGTCTTAAGAGATTTGTAGTGATATATTTAGGGGGGAGGTGACTCTGCAACTAATTTTCAAATGGTTCAGCTGAAAAGCATGTATAGATAGATGATAGATAGATAGATGATTGATAGAGAGATAGATGGATAGATAGATGCATATATATGATGTAAGCAATATTGTGGCAAAATGTTGATGGATGTGGTATATAGGTGTGTGTTGCATTATTGTGACTTTTGGAAGATTTAAATCATTTTAAAAATAACAACTAGGCCGGGCGTGGTGGCTCACGCCTGTAATCCCAACACTTTGGGAGGCCAAGGCAGGTGGATCACAAGGTCAGAAGATCGAGACCATCCTGGCTAACATGGTGAAACCCTGTCTCTACTAAAAATACAAAAAATTAGCCAGGCATGGTGGCAGGTGACTGTAATCCCAGCTACTCGAGAGGCTGAGGCAGGAGAATGACGTGAACCTGGGAGGCGGAGCTTGCAGTGAGCAGAGATGGCGCCACTGCACTCCAGCCTGGGCTACAGAGCAAGACTCCGCCTCAAAAAAATAAATAAATAGACTAAAAAATAACAACTAAAAAAAAGTTTAATCCTTACAGAGATACCAGTTGAAATTTATATATATTTATATATATATATTTTTATACATTTATATATATAATGTATATATTTATATATACCTCAAGTTACATATATATTACTATATATACATAGTTTGAAAAATTACCAACCAGATTGTTTATTAAGCTAGGCACTTAATAAACAAATAAATCATTGCTAAAGGAAAAAATTAAATTAAAGAAACTTAATTTTTTTTGTAGGTAATTCACAGAATACAGAATTTTTGAAACATCAAGCAGTGAATAACTACTGTCCCTGGAAAATTGGCACAATGGAAACATGGCTTCATGAACAAGAGGCCCAGAGACAGCATCTCTGGGACAGTTCCAGCTCTGACTCAGATGAGTTGGGAAAAGATGAGAAGAAGCCACGAGCACTGGTGAGGACCAGGACAGAGAGAATCCCACTTTTTGATGAGTTTTTTGATCGAGAATAAGAATACTATTCACTAACCTAGATATTGAGTGCACTGAAAGCTTGTTTTACTCTAGAAATCTTTCAAACTGATATATGAAGTACTTTGAAGAAAGTAAATCACTTTGGTAAAAAGAAATGATATATTTAGAGTCTTATGATTAACAAGTCTATCATATGTGCTGTTAACTATTGCTGCATAACTAAATGCCTCAAAACACAGGGGCTAACCAACAGCCATTTTATTGTCTCACTTTCCTGTGGGTTGTTGAGTTCAGCTAGGTGGTTCTTCTGCTGTTCCCTTTTGAAATCCTTCATGTCATTGAAATTGGACTACGTTTAGACTACTAGGACTGGAGTCATCTGGAGGCCCCATTAGGACACTGAGGCAGGGGGAGCTTGCCCCCTATCCATATAGTCTCAGAGCATCTTCACATGATCTCTTCAGCAGGACACTGAAGAGATTTCTCTCATATGAGCCCAGGACTCCCAAAAGCAATTGCCCCAAGAGGAGGAAACAGAAGTTGCCAGTCTTCTTAAAAGCTAGTCATAGAACTGGCTTTGCATCACTTCCACTATGTTCTGTTGGTTAAAGTAATAAGCCAGCTTGGAGTTAATGCAGAAGAGGATTACATGAGGGCATGAATGCCAAAGTGTGGTCCTTTGGGGTTCATCTTTGAGACTTTCCACCTCACCATGTTTATAAAAAGAAAATTAGATTATATAAAACAAATAGATGGGCTGGGTGTGGTAGCTCACACCTGTACTCCCAGCACTTTGGGAGGCCGAGGTGGGCAGATCACTTGAGGTCAGGAGTTCAAGACCAACCTAGCCAACATGGTGAGACCCCGTCTCTACTGAAAATACAAAAATTAGCCGGGCATTGTGGCATTCGTTCATCTATAATCCCAGCTACTTGGTGGGGAGGCGGAGGAAAGAGAATTGCTTGAACCTGGGAGACGGAGGTTGCAGTAAGCCGAGACCACTCCACTGTACTCCAGCCTGGGCAACAGAATGAGACTCTGTCTCAAAAGTAAAAAATAAAAAACCAAAAACAAATAGACAAAAAAGTAGACTGGAGACAAATAAAAGTGAATTTCTAAAGGAAAGTCACAGTAATGCTACATTAAACACTAAGCTCACTTAGGTCACTTTCTAAGCTAACCATAACAGAAAGCCTATAGGATACAAGTGAAATAATGTCAAGTGTAGAAGATCATTGTGAGTTAAAGTTCAAAATTAAGACTTCTTAGATTATGATGCAGATTTTAAAGCTCCTTAAAAAATAAAAGGAATCTTATAAATGTTCAAATCAAAAGTTATTCCACTTAGAAAAATTAGCTTTTGGGACAATTTTTAAGAACTTTCATGTACAATGCAGCTCCATGTTTAGCATAATCTAAAAATAATTTTAAGCAATCCAGAATCTTTCAAGAATTTAGTAAAGCTTTAAAACAAAGCAAAACAAAAAGACCCTTTTATGCCTTATTCGGGAAGCTTCCAAAAAGGGAAAAAATTAGAGGAAAACACCACTTCAATTTGACATTCAATGCATTCACATCAGGAACTAAGAAGATAACAAGCCTGAAATGTCAGGTGATAAAAATTCATGTTTCTTCCAAGGACAGAAGGCTATTAGATTGTCCCTGGCCATATCTACTCCCAGTTCTTTGTGAGTACTCTTCTTACTTTTTCTGCGGTAGGTAAGAAGCATATTTCCACCAAAAGAATACATACATTGTTTGACTAGCCAGCCTTCTAGAAAAAATGAGATCCTTGAGAGGATAAACAAATCCAATCTATTCATGGTGTCCTCACCTATTGTGGTCAATCTGAAAGGCTTAAAACACAAAAAGTGGGATGGACAACTCTGAACACTAAAACTAGTGGAGCCAAAGGTACATCTTCACCATTCTCCTCTGTGACTTGAAATTCAATTTCACGAAACCCGCTTCCATAAGCTTAACGAACTGTGAGCTACATAAGGGCACAAACTATGTCTTCTTCCTATGGTATTCCTACTTCCTAGCATGACAACTGGCAAAGAGTTTATCATTAAATGTTTTTTGTAATTAATGAATGTGTTGAGTTGACTAGTCAATTAGAGAAACACTTGTTTCTCTCCAGCTATGCACTTGCTCACCCTCATTTCCATCATTTCCCAGGAGTCTTGGATAGACAAGGTTGATTATACAGTAAAGAAAATGGCTTTTTCTTCCAAAAGCTGCTGGCACTTATACATCTAAATGAATGGCCAAAATTAAGCACTGCCTTGGGATTCAGGAACTATGTGTATATGCCAATAAGGATGCCATAGCTCAAAATACTTTTTGAAACTATCAGAGTGTGTTAGCTTCAAAAGAAAATCCATCCTAATGCCTTCTCTGTTTGCCAGTTCCATGTAGAACTCCTTATAATGCAGTTATGAATTCAAGGATTTTAAAGGAGTAACAATTATAGTAATAATTGCCAACATGCATGGTCTGTTTATTGTGGGCCAGGTACTCTTTTATCTGTGTAATCCTCACAGTGATTTTGTAGGTCAGTATTAATATCATCCCCATCTTAAAGATGAGGAAATTGGGTCACAGAAAGGTTAAGTAAGTTGCCGGAGTCACCTAGCAGAACTTCCCTTTGGAGTAGACGATTGTTTACCAAAAGTGACCTGATAGAAGCCAAGGACTCTTCCCTCCTTTCCTCAATTTTACTTCCAACTCACCAGCTACATTACACATCACTCTGTATTTCTTTTGCATCACATGGTGTGGTTCCTTTTGGGAGGAGCAGGGAAGAGGTAATAGTTCACTAGAAAGGGTGAGAGCTTTGTGGAATTATGTTTTAGCAAGGAATAGCTTAACTGATAGCCGAACTGTAGGCAAACGGAGGATAAAAGCACAGGATAAAGGCAGATGAGAGAGTAAAAGAAACCTTAACTGTCTTCCCAATTTGGCCTAGGGAATCAGTCCCCAACCTTTCGGCACCAGGGACCAGTTTTGTGGAAGACAATTTTTCCACAGATGGGTGAGGCGGGGGATGGTTTCTGGACGAAACTGTTCCACCTCAGATCATCAGGCATTCGATTCCCGTAAGGAGCATGCAGCATAGATCCCTTGCCTGAGTAGTTCACAATAGGGTTCACACTCCTGTGAGAATCTAATGCCTCTGCTGACCTGACAGGAGGGGGAGCTCAGGCAGTAACGTTCCCTCGCCCACCACTCACCTCTTGTGTATGGCCCCGTTCCTAACAGGTCATGGACCGGACCAGCACCTGTCCGCAGCCCAGGGGTTGGAGACCCCTGGCCGGGGGGCAGCATAGGTGAGCATCCCCACCAGAAAGCCCGATCCAGGGTGGATCAGTTGTACACTGTGACAAGGACTCAAGGGTAGCGGTTCTCAATGCTGGTGACAGGTTAGAATCACCTGTCAAAGGATCAAAAACTACTAACAACCAAGATTTCTGGTCCCCACCTTTTGATTTAATTGGGCTGGAGTAGAGCTCTGGTATTGGGTTGTTGGGGGTTTTTTTGGTTTTTGTTTTTAAGCTTCCGGATGAATCTATCACGCAGCTAAGGTAGAAAATTACAGCTTTAGCAATATGAACATTCTATTTCACCAGATTGTATCACCTTCTATCTATAAAAGAAAGAACTTCTGAGGTAATTTTTTAAGGTTAAGGACATTAGGCCTGGAGCGTCACAAAACAGTAAGAGAAATGTTCATTTTGTAAGTAATTTTCTGAGAACATCAATCCTACAGTTAATCTCGAATTTGTTCAGGGCAATGTACGGCCATCATAAACACAGCTGTTGTTGATAAAAACTATAAAATTCAGCCTGGAGGCTAAGTTGTCAATTTTCTTCAGCTGAAAATCTCTCCAGCTTTGGAAAGAAAAAAGGCTTGTCTAGGACGAGAAGCATACTTTCTCTTGTGAAAATAATATTTTCATTCTTGCTCTGAATTTTTCATGAGAAAGAGAAATATCTTTTTTTCCTTCAATACTTTTGGAAATATATTTTTCTCAATTTTTTTTCAAGAAGAGCACTGTTTTTCATCACATACTTATTTTGATGATAATTCAGAGTTACTGTACTGGGGTTTAGTTAAAATAACTTTTGTAGGAGTCACCTATGACATAGCCTTTTGAACAAATGGATAATGTTTGCTGCTTACATAGAGACTTTAAAAACAGAAAATAGAACCCCAGCTCTTTGTGCCCCTCTCTTTCTTACCACAGAAACATAATGGTCATCATATTATAATTAACATCAACTATTTCTTGCCTGGAATAAACAATAAAAGCCTATTTCCACATATTACTGCAAAACCTCACCAATTTAGAATGCTACAGGGAAGTCTTCAGAGAAAGTATGCTAAAGGGTAGATTATGGAAGGTCAGACCATTAAAACTCTGAATTACATCTCATTTTAAGAGAAATGCTATTTCATTCAAGTACAGAATACACAATAACACAATTGGAAACTAAGTCAATAGTTAAGGATTTTTTAAGATACACACTTTATAAAAAGTCTGCAATTCATTCATTCATTCATCATTTAATCATGCGTTCAACGAGTGGGTGTGAGTATCTCCTACATGCCAAGTACTGTTGCAGATGCTGAGAATATAGCCATCAACAAGACAAAGTCCCTGCACCCATGGGTTACATTCCAATGGGGGAGATCACGAGCAGATAGTCAAGTACAAGATAATACAACTACATGTAATGTTAAGCATGATTAAGAAAAATAAAGCAGGTAACAGGGTAGGCGGGGATGGAGTGAACTGCTTGAGGCAAGATGCTCAGGGAGGCACTCTGAGGAAGAACCATGAACGAAGGGAAGGTGTGAACCACGAGAAGATCCATGGAACAGGCTTTCCAAACACCAGAAGAGCAGGTGCAAAGGTCCTGAGACAAGAATGAGCTTATAAGGTTCAAGGGCCAACAAGAAGGCCAGAACGACAGAGCGACCAAAGGAGAGACAAACAGGGATGATGTCAGAAAGCTGGACAGGGCCCAGATGTCAGGAGCCCAGAGGAGCACAGTATGACAATGGGTTTGAAGTGTAGTACAGTTTTAGAGTCAGAAGGGAGTACTCGTGGTCTAGACTGATAGCTCCAATATGGTCATGAACAAAGGTAAACAGACCCACTAAAGTCATATGGCTATAGCTAGCTGACCTGGGGCTGACCCTGGACCCACTGAGCTAATCAGAGAGGGCATTGGTTTCTGCTGGTGGCAGGAAGTTCAGCAAGGAAGCTCAGTAGCAATGGGTGGCAGTGCTCTGCCCTGTAGGCCAGAGATGCAGAGAATGCTGACCTGTAGCAGATGAAGAACCAGAGACCCATTGAGGCCTGACAGTACATCTGTTCCTCATTCTCAGCCCTGCCCAAGGCCCTGCTGCCTCCTGCCCTTCATTCTGAGACTGTATCCCTATCATAAATTGCAGTTTCTGCTTGGGCCAGCTCCAACTGATTTCTGGTTCTTAAAATCAAACAACTTCGGCCGGGCGCGGTGGCTCATGCCTGAAATAACAGCACTTTGGGAGGCCGAGGCAGGTGGATCACGAGGTCAGGAGATCGAGACCATCCTGGCTAACACGGTGAAACCCCGTCTCTACTAAAAATACAAAAAATTAGCCCGGCGTGGTGACGGGCGCCTGTAGTCCCAGCTACTTGGGAGGCTGAGGCAGGAGAATGGCGTGAACCCGGGAGGCGGAGCTTGCAGTGAGCCGAGAGTGGGCCACTGCACTCTAGAATGGGCGACAGGGTGAGACTCTGTCTCAAAAAAAAAAACATAGATATCTTAAGCAGCAGCCACCACCTTGCCTCGTGGCACAACACCAGAGGCTGTGGTGTGCCGGAATCGGCATGAGTGTTCAGCACGGGCTCTCAAAAGGAACTATAAGGATCTCTTCCAAATCTGTGTTCCGTGATGCCATGCCGGCCATGGTGGGAACATTTACACCAGAAAAATTACTGAAAGTTGCAGATCAGGGTTTTTTTCAGAGTTGATATTAAGCATTTACTGACACACCTGGCTAGAAGTAAGGCCCACCAGGCTCTGGAGCCAGCGGTCACATCCCAGCTTGGCTACTCCCTCTCTTAGGTAGTTATTTCACTTGTCTGGCCAGCACCCTCACTGTAAAATGGGGATTAGGATAATGCCTACCTCACAGCGTGTTGTGGCAATGAAATAAGATAACACACACAAAGTGCTTAGAACAATGCCTGACACATAATAACTGCTCAATACACGCTAGTTACCAAACAATGTTACTACCATTGACATCAGGAATAAAATAAGATTTTGTGTGTGAAAGTGGTTCTCGAAGTCTAATCAGTTCAACAAGACATGGAACAAAAGCCAGAAGTACATAACTATGGAACCATGAAAATAAATGCATCACGATTAGCAGAGGAAGTAATTATATGGGTGAACTACCCAAGGGAATCAACCGAAATATTTTTTGAATTAATAATGGAATTAAATGGGTGT